GAAAAGGTATACAGTGAAACTGGAGGAAATTTCCTTCTTCTTGGCAGCTGATGTTCACAAGCTCATCAACGAGGAGGCCACGGTAAATGTTTTGTCTGGGGCAAGATAGCAATCTGAATATTCCCAGAATGTCTTTTTTTTTTCCCAGTTAAAATTCGTTTTTTCTTCTTGTCAATCACTGACATATAAAAGAAGTTTCTCTTTTGCAGAATATTCTTTATCATTTGTATTCTTTTCTCCCTCCTTTCACATAGAAGAGACAATTTATGGTTTTTTTTGTACTGTATGCTGATAAAATACTCCTGATTTTATTTTTTAATATGCAGAATATAAACCGAGCCCTGCTGGGTAATGAGAGGGCAACTGCCAAGCTGCTCTTTAATCTAATGAAATCAGAGCTTGAGAAGGAAAAATCACATAAATTGAAATGGCAAGAGAGAGTCAAGGACTGGAAGCTCATCCAAAAGAACCGTGTAATTCAGAGTTTCAGGTCAGAAATTTTACAGTCATATTTTGGAGAATGAATAACACAAAGTGACTAGTGTTCAGCTGTGTTTTCTATAAACAGTACTGTTTTATCATTTTTTCATTAAACATATGATACATATCACATAGCATAGCACATTTCCATTATACATATCATTTTTCCATCCTACAGAGAATTTATGGCAAGTGAAGAAATACAGAATCCTCCAGCTGTGAAAGCAGAAATGGAAGATATGATAAAGGAGCAGACTGTACTCAGTGAGCGGAGACTGGGGGTTTTGCAGCACGTTGGGTATGGCAAAAGAGAAGCAGAATTCTTTCTGGAGTTAATAGGGGACTTGGCTACGAAATGCACTTTGCTTTCTGTCAATCTGTGATTGTAGAGTTCAGAAGTAGGCAGGTCCTAAACTTTTTTTTTGGTAAAGCTCTTTTTAATGGAAAAAATGCGTTCCTGGTTTTCAGTGCACCAGCTACACTAAATAGGGGATGGTGGAGAGCTAGAAATGCAGGAGTGCATCTTAACTAATATTTGAAACATGGTATAAATGAGCAGACAAGGATGGGTAGAGAACTACACGTTGGTGCTTTAGTCAAGGCATTGTTTCTGCACAGGGTTTCATTTGTGTAATAAATTACGGAAGAATCTGGATAGAAATCTGTCTATGTTTGAATATCCATCCTGACAACAAGCATTTTTGGATGCAAGGCATTACAGCATTTACAGCTTTTCTTTTAGAATGAATGTAGGAACAAGTTAGTTCCTTGTCAGTCACTTGTTCAGTGGCCTTGAACAACAGCAGTCTCCTTGGTTTATTTTCATTGCTGAGATGGCAGTAAATAAAATAAAGTGCATGGAAACTCTGATTCATAATTTTATCTTTTAACAACTGACTGGTTTATATGTTAAGATACTTGACTCTTGTTTCCTATTTTGACAGCACCTTGTTGCCTCCAACAGACATGAAATCTGAGATAAATGAATGGTACAGAACTTTGGAGAATTTAAACCAAAGTTTAGGTAAGCTGGGAAATCATAAAAACAATCTGAAATTCAGGCAATTCTTTCTTTTTTTTCCAGGCAGCAACGAAGCAGGCAGTTGCTTTGAAAGTGCATGTTTGCTCTTTTCTTTGTTCCATGTGTTTTCACATACCTTCTCAGTTGCTTTGAGCTGGCAGTAGGACCCAAAGAAGTTTTCTGAGGGCATCACCTCCCTTTGGCCAGCACAGGCACTTGTGCATGGTGAGATCTAGCAGGAACTGTCTTGGTTAGAATTAATCTGGGGGAGACAGAAGGTTAATTTTGACATGGAGCAGTTCTTAGTCGTACAAAAAT